TTTTTTCCACTTTTTTCTTTTCTTAAGCCACGACAACTTGTAACTATTGTTTATTTTTGTAATCTGTGCTACTCTAATATTGAGTTTCTGACCTGTTCAGTGGCCTTAACTTGAATATATAAATAAATAAATAAATAAATAAATAAGATGAAAAACTGCTTTGAATGGCATCAAACCAGCACTGGTAGCTACCCCTAAATTTTTATTCAATGGTACTCCCTGTATATTGTCATTGAAAATTGCATTTAATCCTATTTTGGAATACAACGATAGCACATACTTTGTATTTTGTTCATCAATAACAACAAAAACATTAACATTTTGTGACCTTATTCACGTTACATCAATTAAAAATTGTCTCCGCCCATGTTTGTAACAACTTCACAGAATATAAGTAAATTAATTATTTCACTACGTACCGTCACACTTCATAATTGAATATCTGTCATAAATTTTCTGACAAATATAAAGCATCGGTTCTTTGAAACAAAAAATAAATTCATACTTTTATTCTGTGAAAACAAAACACCAAGTATGTGCTATATCAATGTATTCCAAATAGATTGACATGCAATATTCAATGACAATATGCCATTTGAAAATAAAAAGTGAGTAGTTGCTACCAGAAGGCTGTCAAATCTATAATATTTTTCAAAAGTCATTAGGAAGGTTATTTAATGCCATTCAATGCAGTTTTTTAATTTTACAATCATCTTGGGACACCTGGTATTTGAAGGTCGAATGAATATTTATTTTCACTGATTAAATTCAACTCAATATTTTGATATAAATATTCATTCTTGTTACGTCTAGGATATCCTTAGGTTCGCGCAGAAAGAAATGCTTATCCATTTCCTGTTAGAGATAACCTTAGGAATTCGCAATAATGAGGAATTATTCGTTTCTGAGGTGACATCTCCACGATTTCTTTCGGACGACCCCAGAGAATATTTCCTATGGTGAGAGCCTATAGTAGTCTTTGGCACCTCGCAGGAGGATTTCGCATTTTGATCCCGAATATAACGATTTAGAGATATTGTGGGAAGTTACCTTCAACTTTAATTAATAACATTGATTGTACATTGAAAGTAAATCATGACTCATCGATTGAAAGAGGTTTGGATGGATTCCATTTCTCAGTGATCTTCCCCATTGTTACACCCATAATGGGGAAGTTCCTTGGAGATGAACTTTCATAAAAAATGTTCAGAAAGTACTCTCCAGTTTCGTGGCCACGCTATTGAATGGCAATTGATGAAGTCTAAGTCTTGTTATTTCAAAAATAAAGCAATTTCTAATTTTCGGGGCGGCAAACTGTGACGTAAATTCTGAATCTAGTCTTTAAATAGACAAGCGTCTAGCTAGACCAGTGAATCTTTCAAACCTCAAGGTTATCAGAAGGTTATCCGTGTTTATAAGACATAAGGTAATATGAGGAAAGAAAATATCTCTTCTGCATGAAAAAGGAAAGTACTTTCAACCTAACTTGTCCTTGATGAACCTTTATCCTGAAAATTATATTTTTGAAAAATTAATTGAGTAAAAAAAATTTGAAAAAATTTACGCCTCACAGGGATTGAACCCCAGGCTCCACCGTGGAAGTCAGATACACAAACCACTAAGCGATTGCTTGTTCGTAGTTGCCCAATATAAAGAAGTAATAAATATCATGTGGTGAGGGTGAAGTCACTTGACCTTGATGTTTGAGGATTCACTGATAAAAATCGAATAAAAAAAAGATGAAGAAGACAACTTCGTTGCGCCGTTTTTTTCAATCTCTTCGAGCGCACGAATGAAAATTCCTATAATGTTCGTGGAATATCGCGTGTACCTAGGAAGGATTGGGAGAGGAGGTATTGTTGGATTTTTTTTTACTTTTGGAGGTTATAAGTTCTTGGGAATACTTCCATTGGCGAAGAATTCCAAAGCTTCGCTGTTCTATAGACGAATGAGTTCTGGTTTAGTGTTGTTCGGCATTTTTGAAGGTTAACGTTGAAGGGACGTAATGACTGCTTGTCGAGTTCCTCTGACTGGGATTGCTAGTGATTGAATCATAGCAGATATTTCTGAGGAACATTTCCCGTGGAAGTATCTATAGAAAACTGAAAGGTCGCCGACTTTTCTACGGTGTTCTAATGGGTGTCGCATCACACTCCAGGCGGATATATTGCTCTCTGGCGGCCCTGAATGAAATTTTGAAATTTTCAATTCAAAATCTTATTGACCATCAACAAATGTTTATACCGTACACAAATTTTTGGAATTTAATTGTGAAGGGTTTCAAAGTTATAGAGAAAAATCGTCTCTAAGGTGTCCAATTCAAAAGTCCCTTAGGAAGCAATTTCGGACGCATATTAAAAGGAACTTTTTGCCTTACTTTTATGCAAAGATTTCTGCTCCGGAAGTTACAATTTTTATTTGTTCAATTATTGACCTCATTACAAACACCGATAGGTAATTACCGGTAATGGTAGTATACAGAAGACATTTACAACAATACTACAACTAAACTTATAACTAGGTAAGGCACAAGCAGTCATAGACAAGAAGTGTGTGATAGTTTCACACATCATATTTTTGTAGCTCTTTCACGTTTGTGTTGAATATATCTATGTGTGTTTGCTTGAGCTCTTGATTGCATATTGATACATATATTTTTACAACTTCATAAAAAGATTGAAACAAACATTAAGATACGCTCAGGACCTATAGCTTTACTATTTGTCAATATTTGTAAATGTTAAATTGAATATAATATTATTATTATTATCGTCGTTGATGTTATTATCAATAATATTGTTATTCTCATTATAAATAATATTATTATCATTAGGAATATTATTATCATTATTATTATTATTATTATTATTTTCTCATCTTGATTGTTATCTCTAAAAATATTATTATTCTCCTTATGCTCACTATAGTTTACTAGCTCCATATCTATTTCTTTTCTTTTTCGCTCACAGAGGTTAAGATGAAAAACAGCTTTAGCTGATCTTCGCCTATTCACCATAAACATATAACTCTCTTTCCATTGTATTATATTCTGTATTATTTTTTTATATTGTGGAATAAAGTCGATTATTATTATTATTATTATTATTATTATTATATTGATAGCATTTTATTTATTGGTGATGTGCTGACTAGATCTACCCTGAAAATCATATCATATAAAATATCATAATTTCTGATTCTCAAATTGATTTTAGGAACGTTTATCTCTATATACTTAATTAGATCACAGTCTTTGTACTTTATATAACTTAATGCCTGTACATTTCTTCTGTCCAACAAACTCGTGAATTCAATGATTTCCAGCATGTACTTATATGGGACCATATATGGAAAAAAACAATTGAATATCACTTCCGATTTCACGGGAAATTGAGTTATGTCAAGAATTATAAAAGGAACCCTATATATATTTTTCTCGCCAGTCAATTGAGCGAAAAAATCCATTTTCAATGGTATATCACAAATGGACGTTTGTTTCTAGAATGGCGGCACAGGATACATCTCGATAGTTATCGATATATTGATATTTTTGCAATTATTCATTTATTTATTCATTTATTTTCACTTACAAACAGACTTGGTAATTACATGTAAGGGAGCTTCCAGGCTAAGAATGTTCCTTTAAAATATCTAATAAGACAAAATAAAAATATACTAACAGACCTACATAATATACAAAAACAAAACAGACATAAGGACGTATACACTACACTAATACTATCTAGGTACATCTTCAAATCACATTTAAGATCTCGTAATAAAACTATTTCTGATTGCACGAGGACTAGTATTAAAAAAATCAATATCACCCATATTCTCAATAAATGTATTGCATTCTCTTAGCATGAAATTAAGAGGTGAGGAGCTGTATATATCAAAGAAAAGAAGATTAATGATCTGTTCAATATTCGTTAATTAATTTTTGGTATTGTAAATTTTATGAAATTAATCATTTTGACAATCTTTGTACCTAACATTATTGGTAATAAAATATATAAATAAAACCTACTGCATAATTCTTCTTTCATTCAAGGATTGTTTTTTGTATGTCGTCATCATAGATTCATAAGACACCCTCTGCGGGTAAATATTGTTATCTTTCAGGTACAAGTATCTAAGGAAGCGTTTTTGCACTTTTTCTATCCGATCTTCATGAATATTTGTCTGGGGTGCCCATATTACTGATGCATACTCCAAATGAGGTCTAACTAGAGCATTATATAATCTTATCACAGTATTATTACTAAAGTTTTTGGTATTCCTGATGACAAATCCAAGTACTTTGAAGGCTCTGTTTACAATGTACTCATAATGTGTGTTGAATCTCATGTCAGACTCAAGATTCACACCCAAATCTTAAATTTCCTATTCAGATTTATTCCATCAACAGCATATTCATACTATAAAAAGTTATTTCGTCTGGTGAAAGTACATACAGAGCATTTTTGGATATTAAGATACATTTTATTATCACTAAACCAGTTCGCTTCACGGTGGACATCATTTTGTAGAAGAGTCTTGTATACAGTCAGGCAAGTCGTTTATAAATAATGTAAAAAGCAAAGGCCCCAAATTGCTACCTTGAGGCACACCCGAGGTAGCAATGAAGGTGTCTGAGAAAGTATATCCTAGTTTTACCTGTTGTGGTCTACATGAAAGATTTCATTTATTGGTACGAGTTTTCTGACACATTGTACTTGATGAGTTTATTTTAAAGTATTTGATGATCCACCTTGTCGAATGCTTTGGCACAGTCTGTGAATATAGTATCCAACTGTTTTTTGTCATCTATCGCCAGGGAGGCATATTGTGTGAACATACATAAATTTGTAGCTGTCGATTTATCCTTAACAAAGCCATGCTGTTATATATCGATATGTGTGGAATTATATATCAATTTTTTTCACGCCTAACTCAAAATAATCTTATTTTTCATATAAAACAAAAGTTCACTCGGTTATTTTAATCTTTTTTTCCAGCTGCGATAATAATGTCGTTCAACTTCATTCTGACGTTGACTTCGCTGAGTCTCGTCCACGAACGCGTGCCGAACAAGAACGAGTACGCCCCTCTTCCAGACGTGTTCCTCGACAACGTGCCCGAATACAATTGGGCGCTCGACGTCTCCGAGTACATCATCATATTCTGCGTCAATACCAGTATGGTGACCATGGTGTTCCACAAGCATAGGTGAGTCTGAAGTGCCTCTTTTCATGGCTTCGCGAACATGATCCCGTCAGCCAGACACATTTTTTTGTATTATTATAATAGGGTTGTACACACTAGTCGAGTTTACGCCAAATACCTATTTTATATTGATCATTCCGTGTATAAGTAGTATTTGATGAATCATTCGTTATTTAAAATCATCGAAAATATTTAGTGTAATGATATTCCCCTTAGAGGGGATCTAGAAACATCAGCAGGAAGGCAGGAGTACAACGATCATCCTGTAACACGCATCCCAGATTGTTCTCCAACCTCCCAATAATTCCTACATGCACCGGCATATTTCCGAACACTCAATATATGCCGCGGTGACAAATAACGTGTCTTGGAAACAATCGATGGAACAATTAGAGAGAGAGAGAGGTCCTGTTCTAAGAAGCTTCTAGAACAAAACGTAGGGGGCGAAAGATCATTCGAGAACGTTCTCGAACCAAAGCCTACCAAGGGATCTCATATATAAACGGCCGGACAACTGCCGTCAGTCAGTCGAGCAGCGAGTGTCAGAGAGATAGTCATATACCGCGTGATATAAATCGTTATACATAAATAGTAGTTATAAGTTCGATATAAATTAGTGTTTCTTTAGTTCACATAAATCAGTTCAAAAATAAATAGTGCCCTGTTCGCTTCTGCACCCGAATAACGCAACAATATTTTTTTTTTCAATTATTCGGCGACTTCAAGAAACGCCAGGTCGATGTCGTCATGAACCGAAATCTGGCTATCACATAGAAAGTAGAACCACATAGTTCGTCGCTGCCAGATTTGTAACTGGTAATTATACTTTATGATATTCAATATGACCAACAATGACAACAGTATTCACATTCACAGAAGACAATAGTTCGACCTGGTCTCTAATACTCACTTATTGAATGCTTATATACTTGCAAGATGCTTCAGTACCAATAAGAATATCCTAGTAGCCCTATATAATGAAATTTTATTTAATCCCGAATCATTTTGTGGCCGGGCAACAGTGTAATGCTCACATTGTCAATCTAACTTTCTGATGTTCAATATCGGCTGTCACCTCCATCGTCAAATCCTTGTTTCATCTAGTCTATTCAAAGATCATCGTCATAATCTGATTCTTTAGTTGTGTTGTGTTTTCTGTTCTCTGCAGTAAGTATTCAATCCAGAAAATTAATTCCATATTCTGATTGAAATGAAAATCAGAAATAGTCTGGCACTTATCTATCAGAAATGGAGAATTGATACGTAAGTAGAATTTTATATGGTGTTCTCGAATGATAACGTCACGCGTTTTCCCGTTTTTTTTATGTTATAAAGTATCGTGAATTTCAATAATTATTTCAAAAAGTCACAGAACTCTGAAGGAAAAACGGTTTGCGACAGTTGCATGAATCCGCCTTGGAACAGGCCCACTCTTATAACGTCTGATATTATACACCCACCGGCAAAAAAAACCGGCCACCAAAAAATGTAGCCAAATTGATCGCCCAATAATTTTTTTAATACTCGTCAGATTTTTGTGATATGTCGATCAAAACATAGATTCATGTTCCAGAATGACAATGCCTGAATATTATAGCATATTCCACTGGCTGCACTATTGCGCATTCAATTCCAACTTTTGTCGTGCGTGTGTGTTTGGCTGGAATATGCACTCAGGCAGTACCAACATTATCTCTATTCGACTGAACAGGCACTACTCAAGGGTAGAGCAGAATGTATGTTTGACTGGTAAAAGCGATTGTTGATTCGAATGTGCCAAAGTCAGGGGATGAAAAATGCTGAAAGATATTGGGTGTTTATACACATTGTTGCTCTTAAAGCACTGAGCTCCAGCAAGATAAATTCCAAGCTTGTATGGAGCTGCATTGAATCCCTAGAAAGCCTGGGTGCTAACAACAGAGTCACTTTGCTGTGGGTGCCTGGACACCAGGGGGTGGAGGGTAACGAGAAAGCCGACATCCTCGCCAAACAGGGAACCGAATCTGTGTTCATAGGACCAGAACCATATTTTGGGGTCACCGCAAGTGCGGCGAAAACAACTATCTCGGGCTGGGCGGAGGGAAAAACACTCACGTACTGGTCCGAATTACCAGGATTAACCCATTCGAAGGCGTTCCTGCCTAAACCATCGGAAAAAATAACCAGGCAGATCCTAGAATGGAGCAGGGGTAACCTGCGAATTCTGACTGGACTGCTTACGGGACACTGTCGTCTAAGATACCACCTGGGAAGGATGGGTCTGAACCAACAAGCGGACTGTCGGTTCTGTTGCGTGGAAGACGAAACGGCTGAACACATATTATGTTCATGCTCTAGCTTAGAAAGACTAAGGTTCGACACATTTGGCTTTACCAACCTAGAACCTATGGATTTCAGACAAATCTCACCCAATTCAACCATGAACTTTGTGAAAAGATGTGGATTGTACGGTGAACTGTAACCTCTAGGGGTGAGCCACAATAGACCCATCGCAGTGGAGGGGAGGGGAGGTGTTCGCCCCACTCACATGGAACCTAACCTAACCTATACACATTGTTATGTAAGTCAATAGCAATAATGATATTTCTGAATTCATGAAATCGAAGTAGGATGAAACTGGAAAGCAGAAAATCAATGATACCCAGAAATTGCAATAAAATATTGGAATACGAGGTTTTTGTTGTAAATTACAAAATTGCATTTTACCTGTTAAACACCATCGAAAACTAATTATTCATAAATTATCTCCATAATTATTAATTATGCCGCAAATAATTATTAATTATGCCGCAAATAATTATTCTCTATATACTTGTAAATTTAAGAAATAATTTGACAATTTGTCAATTTTGAAGGAAGATCATTGATTAGTTCTAGATTGATCCAGCTTTAGGATCCAACTGCACGTTGTCCTAAACATACCAGTCGAGTATTCATGTCAGTATTCAACTTCATTCATACAGTGCCAGAATAATTCACAATTTTAGAACAATTTTAGAACTGTCTGAAGTCATTGCAGTGCTAAATAAGCACCTGTACCATGTCATTGCAATCCAGTCAAATATGCTATTAGTTCTTGTGAAAAGCTGATGACTTGATCATTATACAGGGATAGACAAAAGTTACTCTTTCGCCCTTTACTTCTTAACGTCTATGGCAAAATTGAGTGGTTGAACTTGGCTTAATTATGCTTTGGATGGACGGGTGATCCTTTCTCAAAACAATAGGTTTTGATTCAGGTGAATATCTCATGTTTGAGAGAAGATTCGAGTGTTTTAAGACAGTATGGCATTTTTCTATTCTTATTAACAATAATCAGAACATACATAGACACAACAGGCTGGAGTGATTCGAAGGCTCAGTACCATTCAAAGGCAAGCTTGCCTGAGCCCTACTGGTGCAATGAAAACCACTCCACTTCAGAGGTCATCTTGACCTTGTCACCACTACAAATATACATTCAAGGCGAAGCCTGAGCAGTTGTGAGTAGATTGTCCAGGGTCAAGCACCCATGAACAACACGTATGGTAAAGACTACAAGAAGCTATATGAAGAGTTGGAAAGCGATCCCATCTTGGGAGTGTCAAAATATAACTTTGAAAAAACTTTTAAAATAAGTATAACGGACAGAGAGGCATGATGGACTTCCTATCAATGCAGACATTGTTGTCTATACGGATGGCTCCAAAACCGAGAAAGGGTCTGGAACTGGTATTCATAGGGCCAAGCAAAAGACTCTCACAGCAAATACGCAACGGTGTTTCAGGCAGAAATTATTGCAATACATCATTGTGTAAAAGAATTGATGAGGCAAGAGTTTAAAGGGAAAACCATTACAATCTATTCTGATAACCAGGCGGCAATCAAAGCAGTTAACTCAATGCAAGTTAACTCAAAGCTAGTATGGGACTGCTCAGGAACCCTAAATAAACTGGGCAGTCAGAACAGACTGACTCTAGCATGGGTACCAGCACATACATGTGTGTATATTTTATTCAGATCATTTGATGTTCAATCTTTAACATACTTATAATTTATTTTTAATCATGTATTCTTGTATTTTAATTCATCTATTTCTGCACTTTAGTGATTGAGGGTGAAGATTATCTTCATTTTTAAGCACTGGCTATTGTAATTATGACTTGCCGTACATGTAATTTACATAACATGGTCAAATAAACTACTCTAACTCTACTCTAATCTACTCTACAGGGTATGAGGGCAATGAAGAGGCAGACTCACTTGCCCGAGCAGGAGCAAACAAAGCTCTGCATGGCCCAGAACCCTTTTGTGGTATTGCGAAAGCTATACAAAAGACACGTATAAAATCATGGATGCAAACCAAATCTCAAGAATGGCGGAACAACTTGCCAGGAATGAGACAGGCAAAATAGTTTAGTGAAAAACCATCCCCAACATTCACAGAATATCTACTGAGCCAGAAAAGAAGTACAACTAGAATACTAGTGGGACTTCTCACAAGGCATTGTAGGCTCAACAAACACATGAGTACGATAGGTCTGACTGAAGAACTGCTGGGCAGGTACTTTTCCACTGTGAGGGCTTCTCAAGACTCAACTCTCAATGATTTTGAGGGCAGACACAATAGATATAAAATGGCAGCGGTGTGGAGGAAGATAGCCCGAAGGCCCCACTCTGAATCTAAATCTAATACATAAACTTATTGATTAACAACTCAAACAATTACTATCACTTATTTCTACCTCATTTTCTTATCACTTACCGGAAAAAACCTCACAATAAACAAACAAAAATCAGACCTGTAGTCAATAACGAGTATACCCTCCTCGAGTTCGATTTACAGCATTCAACCGCTGTGGCATCGAGTTTCATCAAATTTCTCAAGTAGTCATAAAGAATTGTCTAAAATTTCCTCGAAGGACGATTCATAGCTTTTGAAGAATCTCTGACAAGGTCGGACGGAGGAGAATGAGCTTCTGGAGTCCATCCCTAAGATACTCTATAGGTTCTGAATTGTTGTTAATAAAAATTCAAAAATTCCATACTTTCTTGACGTACTGAGAACGTCTGGACAGAACGTTTCGTACGTACTGGGAACGTCCAGATTCCGCGCATTTGTACATCCCCAGTGCGTCCATTCAGGACCATGAATTCCTGAATCGACGTAAATTCGCCTTTTTCTACTCAGATAGTTGAAAAAGAGATCTAGACAGGGTAGAGGTGATCTAATTTATAATATTTTTTTTTTTGAATGCGCTCCAAACGGGGATCGATCCCAGGACCTTCAGAATACCGGACAGAACACTTATTAATATATCGGTGTATAACAAGACATTATGTGCGAATGTCGATTGACCCTTCACATAAATATTCATAGTATTAGATGATGGCAGCAGAGAATACCTAAATAGATGTTTTGTGATTAGGCTATGTGAAAAAGATGAGTACGGAAGGAAAATTCGTACTATCCGTTGTCCTATTACCCGTTTTCCAATAGGAATGAAGCATTTTCCTGCTGTAAAAAGTAGCATATGTTCATCAGGGATAATGTAATGGTAATTCTGGTAGTTCTGATTTTAAAAATCTTTTTTTTATTATTTTGGCGATAATAACTCTAAGGACTTGAAAGTTCGTTTTCAAAGTAGACTAAGTTAGATACAATATGATTCTAGAATTGACTCAGTAGACCCGATAGTTTCCAAGATTGAGTCTTTCAAAGTATATCAATTTTGACGTACTCCGCAATTTTTTACAATTCTGTCGTTCTGAAGGAATTTTGACCGTGATTATAGTATCAAAGCCCTATTACTATCATGATGGGACGTTCAAAAAGAAAATGAGAAGTGTGAGCGATAATGTGCTAAGATACGATTAATGAAGTAAAAATGATAAGTACAACGAAAGTGAATAACTCTATTTCTTAGGAAATTGAGTAATATTCAAAATCGAAAAATTATATTGATTCAGCCCAAAATATGACATTAATTTAGCCTCAAAGATCGTCATTTGGTTCCATAGCTGACAGATACATACAGTACAGTACTGCTCACTATGGCTCAAACGTGGCAGTAGTTTTCGATGGTTACCCTGTACAAAAAAACACAAAGATCTCTGAGAGTCTTCGAGCGAAATTACACTCATCGCGAGAAATAATCGTTGATGAGAAAAACATGGCACAGGTTTGTCAAATGACAAAAAAGAGTCGATTTCTTATGAAATCATTCTTTATTTCACATCAACATCAACATAGCGTTTACGAACATATTAGGCATTTTTTGCAGGAAAACTAAGTTTATAGTATTACTCCTCATGCTTTCAAATGTCCATGTTATGTAAAAATCAGATTCATTCCAAATTGGCTTTATTTTTTTATGTTTTGCCTCGAAAATGCTGTTTGATGTACTTGTTTTTTTTAGACCCTCTATAGAAATTACATGAAAATTCACACATGGGGCTTCAAACCCATGAAGATGTGGTTAGTTTTTCCGTATGAAAATGCCTCGTATGATTTCATGAAGAATCGACCTTTTTCAATCCAATAAAAACGCACGCCACTGTCCGAAATGGTATGTATTTTATCATTCGGCACATTATTTGTAGCTACCCAAATTAAATGAACTAAGCTGATACATACAGTGTGTAATCTTGTGTAACTATTGACTTAGTATCTATATTGGGAATTCAAAGTTGATCCATTGCTCATAATCCTATATTATTACCTCGGAGGTTATTCCTCAACTATTACTTTCAAATTACTTCTGAATAGGATCACAATATAAAACATTCAATCTCTTAGAAAGGACATTACTATATCAAAATTGAATGAAATACAGGTTGTTGCATTCAAAATAAGAATGTTGGCATTGGTCGATGTTACATCACACACCCTGTATTGAAAGTTTTTGTTGAGAAGAATGTGCTTTTAAAAATATCAATCAACGTCTCCAAATTTATTCCATTTGGCTGATACACACTATGGACTTTGGACTTTGCCTTTATCTTGGGAATCCAAAGTTGATCCATTGCTCATAATATGAGTCATAATCCGATGTTCTAGTAATTATTATACAGGGTGATTCATTGGGAAAGGCGCATACTGTGAGGGTAGATGGAAGACACCGAGGTACTTCTAAATATCTATATCCCATGGGTCTATCATTCCTTATAACCAAGATACAGGGTGGATTATTGATTGCCCCCATTTTTTCATCAATCATAACTTAAAAAAGTTACTATTATTATTATGTGAATAATTCAATAACATATCTCCTTCCAGATTCATCGTCTTCAGAAGGATCTTCCTGCTGATGTCGCTCCTGTACCTATACAGGGCGATCACGATGTACGTGACGGTGCTGCCGATGGCGAACACCGACTACCCCTGTTCGCCCAAATCGAACGAGACGTCGCCATTACTGATCGCCAAGAGGGTGGTCAAGCTGATGTCGGGGCTCGGATTGTCCGTCAATGGGCAGCACGTCTACTGCGGGGACTTTATTTACAGCGGGCACACCGTTATTTTGGTCTTCACCTATCTGCTCATCACCGAATGTGAGTCTCAATTCTATAAATTTCATTTTCCATCTCGTTTCACTTCTATGTGCATTATTCTACCTGCATTCATTACCAGCAGGTTTATTCAATTTTCACGGATGTTCGAATTGTAGTTTCAATATAAATACAACCACAGAGTGACATATTTGTGTATGAACCTCTAATGGCAAATATCGCGCCAGTGCCAGGTATAGGAACAAGACGTGGAAAATATTAGGTTAGTGAGCATATCAACAATAATAATAGTTATTATTTATTCCTCTCCATACTACACTGTGTTTGGCTTGATAATCAAATAGAGGTTAACAATATCGTTGTTTGAGACAAAAACTATTGCTTGCCGTGATTATTCAAAAACAAGTTATCCATCCCGAGAATAACGAATGAAATTCAGATCAAGCAAGTATGTGAATCTTGAAGGCTTCCCTGATCAAAACAGAAATACTTAACTGAGATGTGTATAATTCCTATACTCCTTCTGCATGTGAAAACATGAAATTTATTTCATATATATATACTTGGGCCCGGAAATGCATAGTTTTCAAGAAACAGTGTGTTGAACCTTTTAGAAAAAATCGGTTTTTTATGAATATCTCAAATATCCTTCCACCGATTCCCTTAAAATTTGGCAATGATATTCTTCGTCATGAGGGGCTGATTTGACCATAATTTAAATTGGAATTGTGAAATCCAGTGGCGTCTCTGGGGAATCCTACCAAATATTATTGTCAATAAAATGTGCGCCACTGATTTTTTTGAATTCTTCATCTTCATATCCTGATGATTAACTAAAAATACAACATTTTGATCTCATGAAATGTTTTGCTATTTTGCCGCGTTTCCGTGGAAAAAGATAAATACCAATTCATTGTATACATTTGTGCAAAACATTGCTTCAAAATCAGGGGTGAAATTAAATGAGTGATCCATGTCCATAGAGGAAGAAAAAGAATGGAGATTCATTTTCTTCAAATATTCAATAATACATGTTTGACACACTTTGTATTATCGAAAACTACGCCTTCCTGGACGGAGAATACGCATAGTTCTCAATATACTGAGTATAGATTGTGTCAAACATGTATTATAATATATTTGAAGATAATTATTCTTCATTCTTATTCTACGTCTTTGGACATAGATCACACATTTAATTTCACCTATGTTTTTGAAGCAATATTTTGCACAAATTTATACAATGAATTGGAATTCATTTTTTTCCACCAAAAAGCAGGAGAATAGCAAAATAATTCAAGAGACCAAAATGTTGTATTTTTAGTTGGTCAATAGGTTATGAAGATACAGAATTCAAAAAAATCAGTGGCGCACATTTTATTGACAATAATATTCGGTAGGTTGCCCATCGGGACGCCACTGGATTCCAAGATCTCAATTGAATTATGGGTTTATCAGCCCCTCATGACAAAAAATATTATTGCCATATTTCAAGACAATCGGTGGAAAGACATTTGGGATATTCATAAAAAACGATCTTTTTTAAAAGTTTCAACACACTGTATGTTGAAAACTATGCATTTCCGGACCTAGATTCATATAAAATAAATTTCTTCTTTCATTATGTAGAATCACTCCCTTGATTATTTGCGCATAATTTCCGGACACCCTGTATATATCTCCAGCATGGGTATGAAATGCCAAATCTGCCGAAATCGGAAACAAATCAGGTATACGTCCCAACCCAAATAACCAACCGTAACAATGTTGTTTATTCTTGATGACGTCTAGTACATCCTTTTTAGTTCCTAGGATCTAAAGTTCAACTTTGGCTCCTAGGAACTAAATATGTTGCCTAGTAACATACCTATTTTTGTGTCAGTAATAGAAACGTCAATTTAAGAGCTAATTTTGGTATTAAAATGGACGATGTATCGGTTGCAGAAAAACATAGTTTATTGCATTACCAAAATTAGTCTGGTTATAACTTTAGATAGTTTGCCAAAGTTTTACGAATATTCTGAGGGAATAATAAATTCAAAACAAATTGGAAATTGAGGTACGTTCAATTTTGAGTATTTATTTCGTGTCAGGTTTGGATTTGTCTTGCAGCAATCCGTGTATAATATGTTCTTTTGAAGTTGGTGGAATGTCTGATGGCTTTTTCACACCGACAAGTTTTCCGTGAATTTCTTCATGAATTAATTTAGGGTTTTCTTTGTGAAGTTGGTCATAAACTTGGAGTATTTTACAGGAGATATTCAAGGCATTACTGACTTTACGATAGAAAATTGGTGAAAAAGTAGCTTTTACTCTGGTCATTAACTTGGTTAAGTTCTATAATGTATGTCATATCAAGTCGATATGCTGGTTTGTAAATGCACTTGCCCTTTCGGATCTGATGGTAAATTCTGTAAGTACCAAGGTGTTGTTCTTCGAAGATTCTTAATACCCTGTGTCAGTTACCGAAAATTGATGTGTACAAAGTTGCTAATCGTATTATTTCACCAAGCTATTATCTAAATAATTCTCAACCAATAACAAAAAGTACGCTAGAACAGAAAATTCTTTAGTATCTGATTTATTTGCAGGGTCCGAGTATCAAAATTTGAATACTATTATGCTACTAGTATACTTTGTATACTTTGTTTAAACATCAGAAAATGTTAAGTCTACTTATTTCAATATCAATTTGTAATAGTTCTCATATACCTGTCTGAAAAAAACGATGTATATGGACGATATTTTGTGAATATCTCTGAAATTTATTGTCAAGGAATTCTCAATATAAAATGACTGATGCGTTACCTATCTTTCATATCAAACAATGAGCATGTCAAACAAAAAATAATAACAATTTCAGCTGACTGGGAATAAGAGACTTACCAGAGGAATTTCCGGAAAGCAGGAAAAGCACCCCACAATTTGAAGGAATGTGTCACAAAAAATATAGGATTAGGTGATAATGAAAGAAAAAATAGACAGTTTGTCTATACAGGGTGTTTCATAATTGAATGCTGATCCTTAAGGGCGATAATCCTTGGATGATTTCAAAGAGAAAAGTTTATATCAACATAATATGTCCTAAACCTCTTAGTTATTGAGCTACAGGGTGATGAAATTTCAAGAAAAAAATGAGTTTTTCATCATAATTTTTTATCACTCTCAGATATTGTTATGATATTCTTTATACACCTTTTTATTATTAAGGAGCATTTTTTCACGTGCAAGATATTTGAAAATTCTCACCAGTGGCGTCCGTACGGGGTTTGAACTGACAATTTTTGAAGAAAAAAATAGTACGCCACTGATTTTTCTGAGAACCAGATTTTTTTTTCAATTCTCATTCATTTTGGAGCAAATTTGGTTCTCAGACTTACTTTCATACAACGTACCGTTTTCGCGTAAAAAAATAAAAACCAAAGAATTTTGTTCCTTCAGTTCTTGGATATTGTTTTGGTAATTCAGTAGACACCCACTATAAGTGGAAACACATTTTGTTTTGGGACGAAAATCAAACTTTTACTTTTACCAGTGATGTCCTCGTAGATAGACCTGATATATTGAATGTTTTGTTTAAAAAAACGCTGTACGCTTCTGATTTCAACACCCTGTAGCTCAAAAACTAAGAGGTTCAGGACATATGTTGATATGAACTTCTCTCCTTAAAATCATCCAAGGATCATCGCCCTTTAGAATCAGCATTCAATTATGAAACACCCTGTATATTTTATCATTTATGAGTTCATTTCTCGAAAAATATGTTTTGTTTAGGCTGTAATAATTAACCATTAAATATTTTGCAAGTCTTTTTTCAATACTTGTATTTCAATTATTGTATATAAGGAGTAAATGTACCTTGTTGCCTACATAAGTTACCGACGGAATCCTAAAGTTACGTCTGTTATATACAATCAATCGGCTTTCCAAAGCGGCTGATTGTGTCGGTAACATATGTATATGCAGAAGTTGCCCATTGCGTGAAATCAACGCGAGCAAAGCCGCGGCTTAAAGCTAGTTGAAAAATATATTTCTAATTGTTTAGTTTAACATCGGAAATATTGTTCCAGATACACCGAAAAAATTGTACCTCATTCACTGGATGTATTGGGTGTTGTCGCTCACGGGTATCGTGATGCTCGAGTTGTCGCACGGCCATTACAGCATCGATGTGATCATAGCTTATTTCATCACCACCAGGACCTTCTGGCTGTATCATACTCTCGCCAATAATGCAACTTTGAAGGTAAGTCAAAGATCCATCAATATTGAAGTGCAAACTTTCTTTAGGCACGTTAAGCACTTTTTTTTTGGGTGAACAAAAACATCGTCAGCTAACGCGTTCCATGAGCCATACTCTGTGATGCGCACACGATGAATATTTACTATGCGCTTTTATTGAAAAGTACAATCGGAAGAAGAATTGTAGTCCATTTTGCAGGTGGAATATAATAATTAGTAGATATACTTGTGAATGGATTGATAGTTACATACGAAAACGTTTGTACCTACCATGATTTATTGTTTTACATTTTGAATCCCATATTGTTTGGTATATTTATTGAAATTGTTTTGTCCTCATTATTGTTATATAATATTATTTTAGGTGCCATTGTCTGATGATGGCCATAGTGCCGAAACCGGTAACTTTTTAGTGAAGTTTTTATATAAAGTGGGGTCGACCGACTTGTTGTTTCTTTTTCAATTTTCTTTCGAAATTACATTGGACCACTTTGAGATATGGATGATTTTCATGAATTACATAATATAGTTATCTACTTTCTACCAGATTGAATGTTCTACATTGTAATTAGGGATCGACCGATATAGAAATTTCAGCCGATACCTCCGATATTTCAAATACCGATATACCTATATATCTTACTATCGGCCGTTAACAAGTTTTCTCTGAAGCTGCTAATATTTATGATACAAAACGTAGCAGGCTAACTCCTGATAGGGCAGAAAGCTTATTGTTTTTGCATCACAACCTACCAAAACTAAATTATCAGTATTAATCAGTTATTTTTGTATTAGTAGGGTGAAATAATTTTACCTCACAGTTGCAATCCGCATAGGGTTTTATTTTATTAATTTTTAATTACTAGTCAAAGAATTTAGTTGTTTTTACGTTGCATACTTTTTATCGGTAATAATGATATAGTTTTGATGGAAGTGTATTTTTTGAGGCCGATATCACCGATAGGCCGATATAAATATTGGTATCGGTCGATCCCTAATTGTAATCCTATTCAAAAGTCATTTGAAGCAATAATAACCGAGTTACTAACATCGGAATATGACTCATATTATGAGCAATGGGTCAACTTTGAATTCCTAAAATGAAGACGAACTACATAGATACACAAGATTACATACAGTGTGTATCAGCCAAATGGAATGAATTCGATAAGGAATAAACTGGGACGTTTTCGAAAAAACGCTCGGACATGTTGGATATTTTTGAAAGCGCATTCTTCTCAACAAAAACTTTCAATAAAGGGCGTGTGATGTAACAGCGACCAATACAACTTTCTCATTTTGTAAAAACTTCAGTTCATTGTACCAGTATATCACCTGACGAAATACTGTGCTAGCGAAACATGTCGTGTGTTTGGGAATTTTGTGGAAATCTTATCGTTTGTGAAGTTTTTACATTTGCCATGGATTTCCATCAAGTAACGGCCGAGTCAATTCAAAATTTCTTATTTTGAATGCAACAACCTGTATTTCATCCAATCTTTGAATTCTTCATAAAATTCTAGACGTATTGAAGTAAAACTACGGAGAAGAAAAAATATTATTTTCTACATTGATGTTAAATCTTGCTCACCTTTTGGAAAATGTCAAAGAGCTGTAAATGAATATAACTGTGATATAGATATTTTTACATTTAGTAGTAGCGAAATAAAAGGCTGTTCTCCACCTCTTTAATGTCCTCAAAATTCTTATTTATAGGCTATATACCGGGTGTCCCATTTTAATCTTTATTTGGAAATTTCTCGAAATGTATGCATCTGACGAAAAAAATTGCCGAATAAAAGTTTTATGGTTTGGAGGGGGACGTCTGGTTATAAAACAAGTTTCACCCCCTGACCCCCCAGGGTAATGGGAAATGGAGGTAACATTGAAATCTTTAATGGAAACCCCTATTTTTTATTGCAGATTCTGAAAGAGCAATAAAAACTATGAAACTTTTATACGGGAACTTCTTTTTTATTTTCACAAGATGGCGCTGCGATCGTAAAAAACAATATTTTACTATTTACACATTTCAACCCCCTGAACACGAGGAAGAGTGTAGGGTGTGATATTTTCCCAGACAAACGCCATTGGGGTGATATTCACACGACAAATTAACGCTAAACGAACTAACTTACCTTGACACCTCTACATAGAAAAGAGAAAAATAAGCATGGTTCAGCAATTAAGGAATCATTTAGGTCAGACTAAAGCTGGTTTCAAGTGAGATTAACTACTTCATCAAGTGTTCGAAATGCCCTCCATTTTCTTGAATACACAAGTTCACTCGTTTTTCAAAGTTCCGCACTGTCGCTTTCAACATAGCAGGCGTTATAGCCATGCACGCTCCTCTAATTATATCTCTCATATTCTCGCGTGTGGTTGAGGGTTCTCGAAACACAATGTTTTTGATGTAACCCCACAGAAAGAGGTTTGGGGGAGTCAAGTCGGGTGATCTGGGTGGCCAGGGCACGGGTCCCCCACGACCAAGCCACTTTTGCGGGTATCACTCGTCAAGGAAATTTCGCACAATTCTAGCAAAATGTGGAGGTGCGCCATCTTGCTGAAACCACATACGGAGCGCCATCTTGTTGAAATAAAAAAGAAGTTCCCGAATAAAAGCTTCATAGTTTTTAATGCTCTTCCAGAATCTGCAATAAAAAATAGGGGTTTCCATTAAAGATTTCAATGTTACCTCTATTTCCCACTCCCCTGGGGGTCAGGGGGTGAAACTTGTTTTACAACCAGACGTCTCCCTCCAAACCATACAACTTTTATTCGGCAATTTTTTTGTCAGATGCATACATTTCGAGAAATTTCCAAATAAAGATTAAAATGGGACACCCGGTATATGTTCAATATTTTTGAAAAAGTTTGTCATGAACGTCTTGATTTTATATCTTAACTCAACTGTTTTTCCAAAACTTGAGTGTATTGTAATCTTTCTGTGTAGTGTATTTCTCTTTTTTTTTGTGAGTAGTGTATTTTACTGTAGGATAGGAACCGAGATAGGAACTGTCTGTCTGTAATTGGGCCATGGCCTGTTGATTTGGCAGTATAAATAAAGTGATATATATATATATATATATTTCATCTAGAATAATGTATTTACTGAAGCATATATATATGTCGAATCCTGCGATGGATATCTCATGGATGTCCATTTCAAATACAGTAGAAGAACAAAGAAACAGATCTATTTCCGAATAGCTTCAATCTATGTTTGGTCACAAAAGAAACTCAAATTCACACTATCAGAATCAATCTTGCAATTTGAACCCATTCATAATTGCTGTGGATATCTTATGGATAGCCTTAAGATATCTACTGAAGGATATCCATGTCGAAACCAATCCAGTAGGAGAACAAAGAATCAGATGTATTTCTAAAAAGCTTCAATCTATTCGGACACAAAAAAACTCATAAATTTACACTATCAAAATCAATATTGCAAATTGAACACATTCATAATTGCTGTGGATATCTTATTGACATGCTTAAAATATATACTGAAGGATATCCATGTCGAATCCTGCCATGGATATTTCATAGATGTCCATTTCGAATCCAGTAGGAGAACAAAGAAACAGATCTATTTCCAAAAAGCTCCAATCTATGTTCGGTCACAAAAAAACTCAAATTGACACTATCTGAATCAATCTTGCAATTTGAACTCATTCATAATTGCTGTGGATATCTTATGGATATCCTTAAGATATCTACTGAAGGATATCCATGTCGAATCCTGCGATGGATATCTCATGGATGTTCATTCCAAATCCAGTAGGAAAACAAAGAATCAGATCTATTTCCAAAAAGCTTCAATCTATGTTTGGGCACAAAAAAAAACTCATAAATTGACACTATCAAAATCAATCTTGCAAATTGAACACATTCATAATTGCTATGGATATCTAATGGATATGTTCAAGATATCTATTGAAGGATATCTATGTCGAATCCTGTGATGGATATCTCATGGATATACATTCCAAATCCAGTAGCAGAACAATAAAGACTCGGATCTATTTCCAAAAAGCTTCAATCTATTTGAACAAAAAACTCAGGAATTGACAGTATCAAAAACAATCTTGCAAGTTGAACACATTCATAAATGCTGTGGATATCTTATGGATATGCTCAAGATATCTACTGAAGGATCCTGCGATAGATATCTCATGGATGTCCATTTCAAATCCAGGGATATCCCTACCAAAATGGGACATGTAGAGGATATTCATAAGACATTAAACATACTCGTTAATTAGAAGTCGACGAAAAAAAATTGCATTGAAATGTTTCACTGTAACAGGCCAATAATTAGTGTTCTCGCTTATCGTTCCAGCTGCACTCTTCAAACAACCTGCTGGGTCGCGAATGGTGGTTCTCGATGTTCCTGTACTTCGAGGGGAACGTAGGGGGGCCCCTACCGCGCCAGTTCGACTGGCCCCTACCGTGGCCTCGTCGGTGGCATCTGAAGAGTCGCGCCAGTTAGTGAACATCGCTTGGTACGGTACGGTAGGAGGACGCTGTCGGGAATTACTATATATATTATGTGATATCGAATAATGTGTAATATGCCTTAATGATTGCAAAATTTTGTGCTCTTTATACAGGGTGTCCGGAAAGGTGGTGATAGGGCTGATAGAGGGAGCCAAAATAATGTTAGTACTTCATATAAAAAAAATCTCTATCGCACTTCGTTACGGCGTTATTGACCTTGAAAGTTTCTGCAAGTCCATACATAAGGCATACTCATTATTACTAGACTCATCCATGGTGTTACCAATCAATATATAAAAAGACATAAAACACTATTTGTTTACAATCATACATACTTCCAAAGTTTCAATCGAGTTAGAAAGATATGGCTTTAAAAAATGTCTTCACCATTCGCGTAGATTGAGCGAGGGGCAAGATAATTTTACCACAATGACAACGCTTTTATACCTATCGGAAAATGTTTGGGTCTAACTTTTTTATTTCAATACCAGATATTCGTAGTACCTTAGGTACTTTCCTAATTTTGATCCATCATTAAGTGGAATTTGAACAAAAAACAAAACAAGATTTCTACTAATAATTTAGTTATTTGGGGTTTGTATGGTGAACTTTTTCACAATCCACGCACTGGCGAATCATAATACTTTTAATAATTGCCTTTATATAGTTTCATAACTAGAAAACACTGAAAATTAATTGAAACACAAAAAATCAAAATGGTAACAAACACAGCACATCAACACTGTAACGTCGGATATTGATATATGCGGATGATTTTGAAAAAAATATGGGTAACTCGTAGTGAACACGCGAATACAGCATTGTAATGATCAAATTAGGGAAATTCAAATTATTTCAATAGCAGAATTCACATATTTCAATTAAGTAACAAACATACAATATGAATATATATAAAAAATGAACATGATATAATTAATATATGATGAATGCTAGCCTAGATCTAGAGCAATCCGCAGAAATGTTTCATCATAGTTTTCTGCTGAAAACGATGCAAAATGTAAATAATTTCGTCTCCCCTCTTTTTATATGCCTATGGTTTTACCAGAGTATTTAATACTGTCAAAATGATTTGATATCAATTTTGACAATGACTGCAACTACTATGATGGTATTGAATAAATAGAGCTTTTATCACCTTTCAAATGGTGTCTATCTACAACGGTACAAGATATCAATTCAAATAAGGTATACTATTTTTGTAGAAAAAAGATGAATAAATCAAACGGTGGCAGCAAACTGTCAAATTTTTCACATCTGTCAAAAATGCCTTCATTAAACGGGAAAACTCGTCCCATCCTGTATAAAACATAATCACTGTATAGCCGTTCACATATCAAAAGAAGCATTATGCTGCTATTCTGCCGACCATTTATGTAAGGTATGCAGGATACAGACTCTGTAACAGACATACTTACAGATTCTGTTAATTTAACAGAGAATTGTATTCTGCCAAACACTCAACGCCGTGTCGGAATTTACGCCTGTCCTCTTACTGAATTTTGATTGATTCAAAAGAAAATGAATATTTCAGAATGGTAATTATCTATATCAGTTATTGTACCATCCTTTTTCATGATTATATAATTCTTAAATTCGACTGATACTATTATTAATGAGTAATAATTTTCATTACTTATACCTTCCAGCTTCTAGAACGATGGATCCAAACATATATGAAGATTTCTTAAAACATCCATATTATTACCTACATAAGTAATTTAACAATTACAGTGAGAAAATCGGGTCCATAGAAATATTACATACATTTTATAGAAATATATCAAAATCGCACTGGCAGAATACCGATTTCCTTACATTCTATGAATATGGAATTATACATATTTTGCCTACAGAGTCTGTACTGGTGTGCAGAATAGCAGCATCAGTATGAGTTTATTTGGTTGCCCGAATGTCATTGATACCATGACTAGCTTTTAAAAGTTAAATATGTAAAATATTTTGTTAAATCAAATTTTCAAGGTCAATAACTTTGTAACAAATGGCGATAAAGTTTTTTTTTATATGAAGTTCTAACATTATTTTGGTTCCCTCTATCAGCTCCCTCATTTACGACATGACTAAATGTTGAGTTTCGCTGACAGGTGGTTTTTTGAAATTTTGGGATTTTTATATGGATATTTTTTGTATTAACTGTTTTTTCAACTAACAGAGATTCGTGTTTTAGTGGATGCCGACTAAAAATACAGCGTGTCTCTTCTTTGAAATGATATTTCTGTGTAACGTGAATTTAGGTGCTAACATAGTTTTATACCATAGGAGTTCTGTGAAAGTATTTTTATAAATGTTGATGATCATTATTTCATTTATAATGAAAGATTTAGATTGCTATCGTGCTGTTATCGATCGTTAAAAAAAAATTTTAATTCGCATTTTGAATGATTACCTGATTGAAATTAAGATCTAGCTGATTTATAAAAATTATACAGGTTGTTTCGAATGAATCATGCTGAACGTAAAAAAACAAATAACAAGTATTTGATATAGGTGATTTGAGTTCACTTCAATGCTCCCCCAATTCATATCTTCTTGCCACAAAATGAAATATCTCGGCATAACCAAAAACGTATTGCTTAGAGGTATCTAAAATGGTATTGAGTACAGTACGTTAACTGATAAAACATACAAATTATCAATTCTTAATGATATTTAAATGATTTGATTTTATATACCGAGATACACAGATGATCTTGCATTACAGCAGTATATATGGCTGAGCGATACATTTTCTCCGTCCTCTATCTCAAAAACGGTTGAGCTCATGAAAAAAATAATGGGATAAAATTAGTCTCAAAGATCATGTTCTACAATTTTTATAACAGGTTATTGGAGCTATAGAAACATAGATAATCGCAAAATACCGAATTTTGTGACGTATGAGCTTCAATAACTTAGGACGCAGCCACAAGATTTTATGAGACTTCTGAGACAACTTTAAGGACATCAAAATTAAGGTGTATACGAGTTTCCAGCTTATTATCTCTCAGGTTGACCCCTGTTTTCTTAAATGACTGGGTAACACTCACCTAGAATGCCAATGTATGAAAATTTATTGACTTGAATTGATTTGGCGCTCGTGCACTTCTAAGCTTGCACAATATGCAACAATAATACAGCGTCATGAGGTCAGGACTGGCCTCCAAAAGTTGGTTTTTGGTTTTTTATCAACATAGAAACGTTCAATTTCTTGGATTCATACAGAAATGCGTAGTTGCTAATATATTGAGGACCTTCGATTTAATGGATGATGGAAGGTAATGAAACACAATAATTAAATGGTTGAATCACATGAAACATTTTAGATCTGGCGTTGATGCTGTCGCTAATGCTGTCGCTAATGCCTAAACTCGGAAGTACACGTACCTCTTTGTATTGTGTAATTTTGTTTTCATGCATCCATATGTATTGGTATTCTAGGTGAGTATTTAATTCTGTGGGTCTAAGTTTTGCACAGACATGGACCAAAAGCTTTTCAATGAACAGAGTGAATAAATATTAATATCTGGACAACATATTACAGTAACTACTTAGAAATCATCACGTTCAGTTTTGTATTCAAATATGCTTTTCCAAATAGAGTGAATAAATATTAATATCTGGACAACATATTACAGTAACTACCTAGAAATCATCACGTTCAGTTTTGTATTCTAATATGGTTTTCCAAATACAGTTGATCTTCTGAATTAACTTAACGCTTCAAAATACAAATGATATCCTCTGATATTAAAGCATCAATTTGAAAATTCAAATAAGGCTTTTGGTGATTCGAAAGGCTAATTTGATTTTAGAGGCCTGAGTGCAAGGATCTTTGCATCCACCCACCCGTCCAGAGTACAAGAAGAAACATACTCAGTAATTTGAAATACAATTCATACATCATGAAATTATCTAACTTTTGAAATGCAAATGATAAACTGTGAAAATGAAGTAACTATTTGGAAATACATTTGATACTAATACTTGATGAGCTACAATTGGAAAGGTGTTGTTCCTTGGAATAATAAACTGATCCCCAACGAATCTTTTGAAAGTATTGATAAATATGATGAAGAATAGAAATGTTAAGAATATGAGCAAGCAGAAAAAATTCAAAATTATTCAAAATAGTACAAGTTAGGCCATAAATGATAGCCATGCATTAGAAAAATACTCATGAGCGCTGGTGTGTCTTTAAAAAAATACTCTTCATTATGTGTCCAGTATAAGAATATCATAAATGCCATTGATAAAATAACAAGAAAGATATGTAATTATTTATACATTGAAATTTACTGATCATGAGTTTCGTCAGTGTCACCCAAACTTCAATATTAGTCCCATTAAAATGAAAAAAAAAATCAGTTTTTCAAAACATCTTGTAAACTCAAAATTTTATAGAAGATTCTATGTGATATTTTTTTAGTCATCTCATATACGCTAGCTCTCCTTGTCTTGGAAACACTCTTGTAAGAGAATAATTATTTGTGAGTATCTCTTGCAGTACCTATCGTTCAATATACATTGAGCATATCTAAATCTTTCATTGATCTAAAATATGATTGAATACCCACTTCTCTATTTTCGGATCGCGGCTTTATGAAATGCTTATCAATGTATTCTATTTTTTCTATCTTTAATCCTTTTTGCGAAAAAAGTTTGAGCAATCAGTCTATCAATCACTGTTGAAACTTTATTTTACTTAGAAAATCATGACTCCTTTCGAAGTAATTATTTTAGCATATCATACATAGAAATTGAATAACTTTTTGGAATCTCAAAGTCTGATGGATTTTAGTAATAGAAAGTGATTGTGGTGAACGTTTCACATTTGATAAAGTTACTGGGGGTAGCTATTAAAAACTGTAATGTGAAGGTTCTTTCGACTTTCCATCCTCTTTAACTATCAAATGTCAAATCTGCTTCTCGCTGAATTTCTATTTCGATAATCTTCTGAGCTGTTCATTATCGTGA